TCTCTCTCTCTCTCTCTCTCTCTCTCTCTCTCTCTCTCTCTCTCTCTCTCTCTCTCTCTCTCTCTCTCTCTCTGTGGAGAGGGAGGAGGAGGAGAAGAAGAAGAAGAATAGGGATACTGACCAGCAAAGGCAATGACTCCCGATGCAGGTCGCTGCTGAAGGCCGGTGTCATGACCGGTATGAAGTCCCAGCTATGGCGCCCAAGTAAGTCTCTCTCTCCCTCATGAACATGGCCTCCGCCAACCTCTCCACTCCAACCTACTCCTCTACTCCTCCAGCGCTGCTCTATCGCAGCTCTCTCAAACTGGCATTGCTCCAGCTGCTGAGCAGTCCTCGGTCTGGAATCAGGACCGTCGGATCTGATGTGCCATCGATGGTCCCGATCGCAGGCCCAAGTCCTGGTCCTCCTATCCTGGCCAGAACAGCCTGCCTGGGTCCCTACTGGACGTCCAGGCAGCCCTGCTGATGCAGCAGGGCCCTGAGGGCTGGGGCAGGAACAAACAGACGAATGCCTGGTCCAGTCCCACATGCGGACAAATCTGAACCTGGCCTACAACAGCCGGAACTGAAATCCACTGGTCCGAACAGGCATCTGCCTGGTCGGATAAAAGGAAAAATCCGCACCTACACATCTGAAACAGACAAAAATAGTCCAGACAAAAGCCAGCAACAATAATAAACGCTGAATAAAGGGGAGCATGTTAACGGCCATTCGATGAGAATTTGCTCAGAACAATGAATTATGAGTATGCATGATGGCACATGTTTTGACAGTATCAAAAGGATAAAAACAGAGCATGTATGTCTCAGTACTAAGCAAGCGGGTAGGATGAGAAGATGAACAAAGCGCACTTACCTGCTCGCCAGCAGCAGAGAAGAGAGGACTGTGAGAACGCCATTGCTGCATGCCGACACCAACCTGTGACGGACCAAACATCCGGCCTCCTATCATTCCGCTTGAGGGAGCATTTAGTCCTGCTGCACCATCGGATGCCACGCCTGATCCGTCACCTGCTGCCAAGCCCTCTCCAATTTTCCCTGAAGGTCCTGACATTGCAGCCGATGTCTGAGATGGAAACCCTCGCATTCCTGTACCCATTACTGACCCAAGCTGAGCAGGGCCTGCTACGCTTCCAAGGCCAGCACCTGGTACATTGCTCAATCCCAGTGCCCTTCTTCCATCGTCATCCATTCCCATCATAGCAGCACGCTTCATATCAACCATCGACGCTCCCATAACACCTTGATTGCCAGCTGGCGCTCCAATACCAAGTTGGGCCGATGGGCCTCCACCATGCATCGAGTGGGGAATCAACCCCCTTCCTAGGGAAAGGCTGGCAGCCCTCCCTAGTCCCTCTCCAAGCCCAGGCCCTACCCTTCTTGCTCCCAACATATTTGAGCCCATTTCTTCTCCATCCTTCATCTGCATTTGACGAGCCATGAGCCCAGGGATCTGTGTGCCTGACAGCGAAGGGCTTCCTGACCTTGCTATCATTCTTGGCCCAACACCAAGACCTCCTGGACCAAGTGCGCCAGGCACCACAACAGGTCCACCCCTTCCCTGAGAGCCCCCAAGGCCTATTAACCCTGTCTTCATGACTCCTGGCAATGCGCTCCCCGCTGTTGGCCCTGCCCCACCAGTAATCGATGAGGCAGATGAGACGGCTGCTACCGACTGCTGCACTGAGACGGCCTCCTTTTCCTCTCTACTCGACCCGGTTGCACCAGCAGTTGTCATTCTGCTTGACCCTTCACTAATTGACCCATCCCTCTCGCTCAAATCATCAGCACCTGCCCCTGTCGATGTGGATGAAGACACTGACCCTGTTGCGGGTGAAGCAGCTGCTGAGACCTGCACGCAAAATACGAAGAGCAGCAGAAGTACACCAATGACTTTCATTTCCCCTTTCAATTCCCGAATAAAGAACGCCCTCGTAATTACTAATTACCCACCAACTTCACATGGAATAGAGATAAAACCCACCACATTCAGCGATAGCAGCCCCATCTCTCAGAGCCACTTCATCCAGACCCAGGCCATAAACACTGACTTCAAGAGGTACAGACCCTCTTTGATCTTTCCAGAAAGAAACACTTAGAGAAGAAAAGGGGAGGGGTGCGACGAGGATGTACGAGGGGCAATTCAACAATACTTGCCTCACTTCTCAAGCCACTTCATTCGAGAGTCAGGCCCAATACATTGATTTCAAGGATTTCACTCCTCTTTAACCTTCCAAAAAGGCATACTAAGAGAAGAGAAAGGGACAGGGAGCAACAAGGAGGTAGACAGGTCAAGCAAGGGAGAACCAACAGCGAATAAGAGGGCAGCACATCCTGGATGGATGAGTGGGTTGGCGAGGGTATTGCGGAGGTATCATTTACATACCCTTTCTTTTAGTGAGGAGCTTTGCTGTATGCTGTCGATATGATCTACAGACTCCATCTTGTCCAGAGGCAGACTCGAGTACATCATATCGACATCTTCGAACTCGTCAAAGTCTTCTTGATTCCTCTCCAAGTAGTCCTCCACAATGTCTCTCACCTCATTCACCTCGTCAGGGCTGACCTCATCATTATGGAGCAATCTCAGTACCTAAGCAAGCACACATTCCGATTGGATGCACATTCCTGTGTGATCAAGACCTGCCTGTTGTCACCCCAGCTTCTGACTGAATGGTATACACATGTAGCTGCTGACAGTCGGATCAAACTCCAATCGATATAATAATCATACAGGCTAACCCCCTTAACATTAAGAGGATGGCTTAGGCAGTGCCGTGCTCACACTGGGACTTCCACGGCAGCTGTTGTGGTAAGATATGTCCAGGAAAGTTGATTTACGCCCTCGGNAAGAGGATGGCTTAGGCAGTGCCGTGCTCACACTGGGACTTCCACGGCAGCTGTTGTGGTAAGATATGTCCAGGAAAGTTGATTTACGCCCTCGGTCAGGACTCCCGTCGTCTTGCCATGTGTCTTCTCACATGACTACAGCTCCCTACTCTTTGGGCTTACCATGGTCGGGGTGGGAAGCGTAGTTAAGTAGGGACAGTTTGTGGTTTAGGGGAGAGGACACAACAGGCAAAAAGATGCTCAGATGTACCGGTGGTTTAGGGGAGAGAACGCAACAGAGGGGAACTACATAGTTACAGCGCACAAAGGCCAGAGTACTCTGCTCTCACAGAGTAAAACAAGAATAGGTGTTAGTGCGCTCATTCCCTTTCTCGACCTAAGCTTTTGTCCTTTTCGCCACAGCGGCATGGTATTGAAGCATGTCATGGAAAGCATCACCCTTACCAAGCACACAAACAGCTGCACAAGATGGTCAGACAGAGATGATTGGGTTTTCCTTTAAGGTCTATGCACACACCGCCGGCGTCATCCACTTTCACGTTTACACCATGCATTCTGTGTCATCAGAGCAAAAAGAAGAGTTTGATCTACATCTCAAATGAAAAACGAGGCACACTGGTAGGGAGTCAAAACGAAGATGAGCACGAGTGAAACCTAATCCAATAGCCATAGCCCTAGACCCCCTAGACTTGGGAGATAACCAACCGGGCATGACTACTGTTATCACACCCGTTCGGGTGGGGTTTCAATCTTTCTTGTTTCATAGTACGTGTGATAAATTGAGAAGCGGCTTGTTTCATTTCATGCGTTGACAACATCTGAAAACACAACAAACAAAATGAATATGGATTTTCCGAAGGTCAAATCAAATATGATTTGATTCATCCAGAATAGGTGTAATTGCTCAAATAAAAACAGCTTTGCTGGTTGCCGACAAAAAAATATCACAATTAATTACGGCTGGCGTCAATGGTTTATTGGTGATCGCACCTAACGGCGGCTTCCTGGAAAAGAACGCACAGCAGTGCTGGTCCCCAGATGGACCGTGGGGCCTTCCCCTGACCACGAGCCTGCCGGTCGGACCGGGCGGTCCACCAGCCCCGGCAGGGCCCCGGTTCAACCCAGCACATCCCACTTGGTGGTGGTGGGGGGGGGGGGGGGNTCAAGCACCCTCCATCGAACGGCCAGGATCAACCAACCAACATCCTCGCACTTAGCACCCATCACGTCGACAACCCCTTAGACTCTCAACCATCTTTCGTAGCAAAGAGAATACGAGCCTGCAGCTCCAGCAGCTATGTTGTTACGCTCTGCGCAAGCCTTCCTCAACGGATTACCTGACAGTTATCCATCTGTGACAGAAAACAGGAGTAGAATGCAAGAGCGCAGCAGAAAATGAACAGATAAAAAGACGGAAGAAACAGACAGACAACATGAACGGAAAATGCTCTCTAATCTTCTCAATACAGAGGGCTACAGTGCAAGAATGGAGCCGAAAATGGACAGGAAACAAAATGGAAGAAAACAGACAGCATGAAGGCAAAACGCACCTACTATTTTCTTCTCAATACAGACAAGATTAGCCTTCTAGAGCAGTTTTTTTTTTTTTGAGCCGGTGAAAGGGAGGAGGGGGGGGGGGGGGGGGGGGGGGGGGGGGGGGGGGGGGGGAGGGTTCCGGGGAGGCACAGGCATCCCCGTGATTGCCAAGACCCTGGGAGGCCACTGCCTCCCTTTGAAAGAAAAAAGGGGGCCTTTTGAATAAAAAAATGAGTGGAGGATCTCTGCTGCTGACTTTTGCAGATCAGCGGCAGCGAACCGCCGCACACTTTTCTTATGATTAGGGGTCCAAGAGGCCCCGATTCCTCATTTTAGCAACATGTGCTCTAATGGCCCACGAACCAGACATGATTTGCAATCGGCCACTCACAACCAGGATGATGTTTCAGAAGTGGCTTGCTGAGACATGATTTGCAGGTCTGGGCAAAAGTTATGGGTTTGGGTTCCTGAAGTCAGAATAATAGTGCTGTCCGAGGTGCAAGCCCAAGAATGGGCCTCGATCCGCTACATGTATCTGGACAGACTGCCAGGCAAGATACTTTCGGACTATTGAACCACGGCACATTGAAAGGAAACAAGCAGAAAGAAAAGAAAAGACAAAAAAAAAAAACGAAAAACAAACAGAAATGCTGTGTGTCCACGAGCTGAAACCTGAACCCATAACTTTCTACTGTCGGACACGATACTATGCAAGACTATTTATACAAGGATCTCCCATCAGCCTACCATATACAGCCTCTCAGGTGTCGTGGGTGTGTGAACGCCACAACCCCCTATAGAATTTGGTTGAAATCGTTGGGCCACGTGGGGGTCAGATAAGTAAGCTTCTTAGCTTGACCCCTCTACGTGAAAGCCATACCTCCCTCAATAATACCTTCCCCCCCTTGGAAACCCCCTTTTAAAAAAAAAACTGTGCGGATTTCGACAGATCTGAAATAGCGCAGTCGGAATCCGCAGAAGGAAAAAAAAAAAGAAAAAAAAAGGACGTTGTTTTTTTGAAAACCGGTTTTACCAGTTCAACCCCCCTGGGCCGGTCCGGCCCAGGTCGAACCGGGCCAGCTGAACCGGCCGGTTGCCAGCCCACCCTTGACACACAGTCATTATTGCTCTATCCAGACTGAAAGATGCCCCAAATGCAGCTACAATGACCCTGCCTTTCATTCAGGCGAAGAAGGTAGACGGAGACTACTGCCAGAAGATGTGGGTCGTTGACGGTGTAAGAATACCACATAGCCCAAATAAATAAATAAATAAATAAAGGGACTCTGAGCAGGCACACACACTGGCTCCACAACTCTTGGCCGTCCAAAAAAGAAAATAAAGTTCCAGTGACCAAAAAAAAAAAAAAAAAAAAGAATACAGCCCAACTTCCTACGCAGCGATGGTCTACTATGTTCTATCAAGCCCATTCTACTCAGATCCTCAAAAACTGGAATGTTATAATTCCTTCAGGTTTGACGCAGGAAGAAGAAACTTTCTCCCAATTGACAGTACTGCGCCCTCAATATAACGCATGGCAGACCCTACCATTACTGCTTCCTCAATGCACACGAATGCTGTTCCAGCCAAGAAAGCGGACAAGGCAGTTTCATACCGGGTGCGGAAGATACACTAGCCAGTGTAAAAGGAACCCCAAGGAAGATATATTATCCAGCGTGAAAGGAACCCCCGATTAATTGGACAAGTCTTCATATAAAAAAAAACAAAAAAGGAACCCCAGATTAATATGGTCAGACTAAAATGGTGGTTCTTTTCAGTACGCCTTATAGCCCGAATCAGTTTTCCTTGGCCCATTTTGGTGAGGCTAAAATGGTTGTTCTTTTCAGTACGCCTTCTAGGCCAAATCAGTTTTCCTTGGCCCATTTTGGCCAGACGAGGGCACAGCTAAAATTGTTTCAGTACGCCTTATAGCCCAAACCAGTCAAAAAGGGAAAAGAGTCAAAAGACAGAGAGAGAAGGAGGAGGAGGGGGGGGGTTGAGGGCGTAGTGACGGCAAGGCAGGAAATCAGAGAACAGAAGACCAACCAACCTGCTCAAGTTTGTTCATATGAGATTTGTGTCTTTGTGTGGACAGCTCCAGGTGTATCTGTCATTTCACGAGCAATCAAAAGTAGGTCGCATTAGTTGCGCAACACATAAGACCTCACACACAAAGCATGGACAGTGTCATGTTTTGACTGATTTCTGGACTAGATACACAACATTGTTTCGCATGTGATTCATACATAGACCCCTTGGCCATTGTGCAAACTGGATGGATGACAACAGCATGCACGTCGAGCACAGCTCTTGTCACGTTTGTTCACAAGCATGCCACCCCGATATCACTCCAGCTGAGGGATACATGTATGGAGCCGAAGGGTCTTTGATCCACTACTTACCAATGCGAAAATGGTGAGTGCCTCGTTCCAGTTTTGATGCAAAGACACACTCGCCGGTTCTCACATTTGGCAAACAGTGGAGCGAGGCCCACATCTGAAAATGGTGAGCGAATTGTTCCAGTCTCTATGGAAAGATGCACTCGCCACTTCTCGGATTGGCCAACAGTGGAGCGAGGCCCAAACAGTTGTCTTAGCACAGTGAAATCACTGAAGATAGAACTGTTACTGCACAGAAATGAATGACAGGATGAACCTCTAAGGGAATGGAAAGCAAAAAGCAACAAAAAACAGAAGAAAACGACGGCAGGATAGCGACAGTGAGAGCCTGTGAATGGAGCAGAGACAACTCAACTGGGCGAATGACCGCCACAACCAGGAGATGGAGGATGCCAATGTTCACCACAACATGGAGTCGATGAATTTACAGAAGATAAATTCAGAAGGTAATTCAAGCAATTAATTCAAAACAAGCACATAAAGAGTGAGCTGAGGCAGTACTTCTTCCCATCCATGTGGACTAACCAAAGTACATACTGGAATTTACCACCTATAAACACCCCCCCCCCCCCCCCCCCCCCCCCCCCCCCCCCCCCCCCCCCCCCCCCCCCCCCCCCCCCCCCCCCCCAGAGAAGGGGGGCAAGGTTAATATCAGATCATGTGTCTCGACTGCAGCAGTCTTAGGGCCGGTAATGCTTCTCACAGAGTCATCTCTGTATCACATATATAGCCAAGACGTTGACAGTTTGAACAAGCAGGAACAACCAACAGCTGGGTTGGACGACACCAAGGACAAAGATCAGCAGGAAGGCAACTAGTGGTACGAGGAGGGTATCAACCGAGAGGCGGGAGGGTAGAGAAGACATATATACAACAGTGACAATGATCATAAGCACACAGAACAAAGCGAAAAAAACACAGAACAGATCAGGAGACCGAGAAACCAATCAACAAACCATGTATTTTTGGCTGCCTAGAGATGAACGTACAACAATACATGATAATTTCTACATCTAATTCTCAAAACTATTATCTGTGGGGAGGCCGCAGAAATAAATGGTTGCAAATTCAAATTTGTGGTGATATCGACCCCTTTACCTTCCCCCTATCAACGAAGAAAGGACAATGGAGCATCCAGCGCCTCAAGCGAATGTACACGAATCAACATCCTCCACCGCAAAAAGTCCAGATTTTCATCCATCGACGGAAGGACAATGGGGAAGTCATCGCCTCCATGAATCAACATCCTCCGCCACAAAGAGACCAGATTCTCATCCACTCTGTCTGAAAGTTCATTAAGATGTGCATTGAAAAGAGAAAAAAAAACAATGTGCGCAGCGTACATACAAACCACACAAACAAGCAAACGCTCTCGGTCGGCGTCTGTTTCCTGAGCAACAAAAGAACATGGAAGGCTTCTTTTTTACTTCCAGCCTTCATATCAGAAAGATTGCTATACAGTGCATACACATAATCCTACAGCTATTCTATACTGAACCCTCGTTCTACAGCCATACTCTAGCAAACTCTCACTAGTATAGATATGGGTGTGGACGGGGGAACGTCGGCACGACTGATTCAGCAACGATGAATGACTATTTGCTGAATCCAGCGATGAAGACAGACTGAGGAGAGCAGACACACGTACACTTAGCAGCTACAAGCCAGGTAAGCCAATGCCATGTGCGTACAGGGCATTCTCCATTTTCTGAGAGACGATGGACTAGTAAAAACTCTTCCATTTTTTTCAGTCATGTTCTTCAGGCATGCAATAGGGCTACATCCATATTTGCGTGCAAGGTTATCATGTCGTGAATTGGGTCACGTTCAAGAGATTTCCTATATTACCTGGCTGATGACAGATTGGGTCACATTCGTCGAGCGGGCTTTCTGCAAATCGAGCATTCAAAAAGCCCGTATGTTGTCAGGCTAGATTTTCCCAGCTCCACCTAATTCAGCATTCCCTCACACTCACTTCCCCTTCAGCTTTGTCCTTCTGGTCCTGTCTTAATATTTCTACAGCAGTTATCGATCAAAGGGGACGACAGCGCACTCACACCCCTCCACATCGACAAACGAAACACCGGTTCGAACCGTTGGCAAGTAACTGGTGACAAGAACAAAAGAAAGCATGCCCCACCATGCCTCTAGTTGAGAGAGAGAAAGAGAGAGAGAGAGAGAGAGAGAGAGAGAGAGAGAGAGAGAGAGAGAGAGAGAGAGAGNAGAGAGAGAGAGAGAGAGAGAGAGAGAGAGAGAGAGAGAGAGAGAGAGAGAGAGAGAGAGAGAGAGAGAGAGAGAGAGAGAGAGAGAGACGGAGGGAGAGAAGTGAGATGCATCATCTGTTCAATATGAGTCAGGAGATGTGTCGAATTCACAGCTCACCCCAGCCTACTACCAACAGTAAAGCACACAGCCTCATTTGGTCAGACATAGCCTAACTTTAGACCTGTGGAAGCTATTGTTGGCTGATAAAGCTCCCCTCGTCACAGAGAGTCGGTACTAACAACTTAACAAGGTGGTGACAAGTACTAAGAACCATATTGCAAGGAAATGGACACAGAACTTGAGAGAGGGAAGAATATGGAACGAAAAATGCCTCGGAAAAAAAAAAATACAAAAAGAAAATATATAGAGAACCGAATGCCAAAACCGAAACGCGTAGCTGGTCCACGCAAATCGAGATTAGCTCACCAGTCTTTGTGGCCTTGTCTTCCCCTTCTTGACCGATAAACCCTCCATTTCTGCCTCAAAGGAATCTATCTGGGACACCAGCTCGCTAACCTGCATATCCCACGTACACAGAGAGAAGTCAAAGAGAGAGAAGAGAGGAACATTCTGGTCATAAGACAGTCTGGATTTCACTGACTTGTCCAGAGTCGGACCTGTCATCACCAGACGACCTGGCAGGGCAGCTGAGCTGTGCGGCCATGTAACCTTTTTGTTCAGGAAAAAAAGGGGGGGAGAAGGAGGGACAGGGAGGTGTTGTCCCCTAACATTATTATATTCATGTGATTCCATCAGCATTCAAATTCATGAACTGTTTACTAACAGTTACACGTCTGTATGATTCAGCTAGATGACCTTACAACCTTAACCTAGTTCAGAGCCCAACCCTTCTCTTCTCTTCTCTTCTCTTCTCTGTTTCACAACTATCAACTCCTCTTCTCTTCCTCACAGCTATCTTCCTATGCACGTGGGATTCCATAGCGGCCCACTTGTACGCTGTGAAAAAGAGGCAGAGTAAAGGGGGAGGGGATAAACACAGAGGAGAGAGATGGAAAGAAGACAAACAAAGATCGACAAAGGAAAGTAAGGGAAGATGAAAGCGAAGGTGAGGATAAGAAAAGGCTCAAGAATCAGTCTGTCCTTGATGATAGACAGGACATACATTGTGAGGATGAGGGGGATGAACACATGGAAGACCTAGCTAAGCATTCTCAGTACAACAATTGCCACGACGGCTGGCATAGAGCATGCCCACCATACACTCCCAACAAATGGCATGTCGATTGCAGGCCAACGTGAAGGAAGAACGGTCATCAAAATAGACTATGCATTCAATATAGCGCCCATGGCCACAAAATGGACATATAGTGTCCGGATGTGGAGGGTGCCTGCAGTCAGGAACGGCACATATCTATGAACTAAACGAGCACACTTTACGAAATGAACAATAAAAATACATACGGCAAACATGAAGAGCACACTGAAACCATCATTTTATTCTTCTTCTTTCAACTCCCCCTTTACTGTGCCTCTCACATACACGGCTTGCCACGTTGCTCAAGTTGAGCGCGGTGAGCCCAGTGAAACGAAGGCAGAAAGGGAGAACAGGACAAGGAACGGGGGGCTGTGACAAACGATTTTGTTCAAGTTTGGCTGACTCCTTTAGGAGACTTGTTTTACTAAACTGACAAAAAACACAAATATCGACAAATCACAGGCTCAAGGGCAGAAATATCCTACCCCTAGTTAGGAATACCCTATCCTATATAGGAACGTCCTATCCTATAGGAATATCTACCCTGCAGGAATGTCCTCCCTTGATTAGATATTCCAATAAAATAAGATACCCCAATAGGAATTAATAAGGGTCAATTAAACACCACTTGTGATGCCCAACTTGAATGAAGTACAAACACAACTTCTTCAATGCTGGGCATCACACATGAACCCAGATTAATTTCCAGATAGATGCATTGCCTGCATGACACTTCCCAGGCCAGAAAGATCATTTACAGACATTTCCCCTAAGAATGTCTGTACATAGTCTAGAAAGAGAACTCAAGACAAATGCTGATGTGATGCACGATGACACTGAAAAGGGAGAAGACCATCGAGGCTAAACTAGATTTTCAATGGTCCTCAGCTTGGTAGATTTTTAAAAATTTGGACCATCTCTCGCTTAGCTTGTCTAATCCTTGCACAGCGGCCATTTTGCTAATTACCCTTCTCTGTATCGTTCCAATTTTAACGGATGTCCCAAAGGACAGGTGGGTACTGGTCCTCAGTTGGCTATTTTAAATGGTCCTTTGACTATTTCAATGGTCCCTAGGCTATTTGAATGGTCAGCTATGCATAGGACCTTGTGTACGGTCAGCTTGGCATAGGAGGACCTTGTGTAGGACTTAGCATGTGAATTGTCACCGAAGTGGTCTGCCACTTTCATTGTCACCGAAGTGGTCTGCCACTTTCAGGAAATTCAGTTGAGAAAAAAAAAAAAAAAGGGTGATTCCTTCCTTCTTCCTACCATGTTGTTCAACCAGTCTCTTGTCTCTCCTTTCGCCTTTTCCCTCGGATCCTGTAACAAACAACGTTATCGCATCAAAAACCCAGTTTTCAGCTTAGTAAACCCAAAAGCTCGGACGTGGCATATCTCATCACTTGGACACAAATGCCATATCTCCCAAGCCATACTTTTCCTTTTTCTTTGTGGGGGGGGGGGAGGGGAGGGGGAAGGATCTCTCTACTCCTATAGGATCTAACTAGACAATATAACAGTCCTTTAATAGTCCATTGCACCCAAGCTCTCAACTCAGCAAATGGGAGGGCATAACAAGAGCCAAAAGAGGAAAAGGTTCGAAAAACCAAAAGCGGCAGAGAGAGTCCGCAGTAGGGAGTGTGATGGGTGATACTGACAGACATGACAAGGAACGGTGTGTGGTGGTTCTAGGTGCAACAGGGACCGCCCATAGACATGGGGGCTTGAAAAGGAACACATCAGGAGGCACACACCAAAAACAAACTGCT